CATTCTCTTGCTCCATTCATTACATTTGTTTACCATTCTCTTGCTCCATTCATTACATTTGTTTACCATTCTCTTGCTCCATTCATTACATTTGTTTACCATTCTCTTGCTCCATTCATTACATAAGTTTACCATTCTCTTGCTCCATTCATTACATTTGTTTACCATTCTCTTGCTCCATTCATTACATTTGTTTACCATTCTCTTGCTCCATTCATTATATATGTTTGTCATTCTCTTGCTCCATTCATTACATATGTTTGTCATTCTCTTGCTCCATTCATTACATATGTTTACCATTCTCTTGCTCCATTCATTATATATGTTTGTCATTCTCTTGCTCCATTCATTACATATGTTTGTCATTCTCTTGCTCCATTCATTACATAAGTTTGTCATTCTCTTGCTCCATTCATTACATAAATTTGTCATTCCATGAAAACAACTTTAGTTCAAAAGGTATTTACTGTGTTAAAATGTATTTGTCAAGGTTATCAATACCAAGTTATAATGTTCCACCTTCTTTCCATTATTCAGCAGCATCATGACCGAGAGGAAATCCGCAGGAAGTTAGCTGTAGACTCGGATAGTGAGGACTATTTCTGTGGGAAAAAAGTCACCAAGAAACCAAGTCTCTCAACCAGACTTCAGAGTGGGATGAATCTTCAGATATGCTTTATGAATGAAACAGCCAGTGACCAAGAGAGTCAAGGAAGTGATCACGACATAGAAACTTCTTATCGAAAAGAAAGTGTATCTGAAGAGTTATCAGTTGAAGAAACTGCTAGAAATACTAATGTTTCAGATCATAATAAGGTATTCATTTTAGTGTGTGAAGGAAGTATGATTACTTTATACATTTAACTATATATATATATATATAAAAGAGAGCTAATCAAATATTCATAGGCAATTGAAACATTTCGTTTATACCTGTTCTTTATGTGTTCACTATACATTAATATAACTGTTTAAATGTATGAAACATCTATCGTGTAAAATTGTATGTATTCTAGTAATCCTGTAATTAAAGAAGTACTATCGCAATAAAAGTACTAATTTGGTCGCAAACGTTTTAGCTATTAGCTTTTCAGTTTGTAAAAACATTCAAGTCTTTATGAAGCTTTTATATAAATAATATGAAAAATATTATAAGGTAATAAAACCCAAATTATGACCAACAGAAAGTTGAAGCAGGTATTTGCTAACTTTAATATTTCAGTGGTAAAAGGTATTTTTTGCTCCAACACTTTCATAGGTTGACATTCTCATCAAACTTCAATTTTGTATTAATTCTATATTGTATTTGTAATACCATTCAACAGATAAAGTCAAGTACGTCATTAACAGAATCCTCAGGTAGTATTGAAGTCACAGACACCAAGAGGCAGAGACCATCTTTTTTCTTTAATCGCCCTAGAAGTTGGAGCTTACGATCATCCCAAAAGAACAAAGAAATCAAAGAGAAAAATGAGAAGATTGTAGAAGATTTCGTTACCAGACAAGCTCGATTGCAGTCAGAAGCAAGAGTGGCTTTAGCCCAAGCTAAAGATATGGCTCGCATGCAGATGGAAGTTGAGAGGCAAAGAAAAAAGAAATCTCCCATTGCAGATATAGTGTGTTGTTTTGTGGCTAACCGTTTTATTTTTGAGTAATTTTGTAATTTGAAAAACGAGTCACAAGAATAGATACTATACCATGGTTGAATAACAAAAAAATTCTTAGACACGTCTAGAAAGTTTCTATTATTATCAAAGTTACTTAATGCAATAGGAAATTACATAATAAATTAGTGATATTTATAAAAGATTTGTTTCACCCTCTGGTATTATTACACTAAAACTCGAAATATTGTAGAAGGACCACATACTCAATTATTTCATGAACTTGAGAAAATTATCCAATTCTTAGAGGGCGTTAAACTTCTCAATTATTTATGAAGTTTATTTAATTTTTAAATTCTATCATATTAAGTATTTAATACTTATTAAGTGATACCTAATATATATCCATAAATTATCCAAGAAATCCTACATGAAAATGATTTGGAAGTGTTCTAACTTGCATACCTCTATCAGAAGATTTCGTTTCTATTCATTACTTGAAAATCAAATAACTTTCATGAGTAGATTTCACATAAATATCTTTAAATATGCATTCTTATTACTTTTACTTTACTATTTCCAGGACTTAAATGAAAGAGCAGTATAGAGTTTGTAGGTACATTAATATGTTTATTTGGTTTTCTTGCCTCTACCTGGTAAGATGTGTAGTGACATCTGGGACGTAAGAGTGTTTTATTTCTGTAGGTTGGCTTCCCTCTTCCTGATGGTCATCGCCACCTTACTCGTCAGACTTTAAGTGATCTGAATATAGCACAGCTACAAGTAATAGTCAATGACTTACATACACAGATAGAAAGTGAGTACACTGTATCAAGTTGATTTTTGAGTTAAGAGTAGTGCTTCGTATGTTTTCCTTTAACAAAATACCAGGAGTATTTTCTTGTAATTATAATTTACGTATTGAAAGATGTAAAACACAAGTTCTTTTCTTAAGGTTAGGAGCATTGACATTTAGACTTCATAGTTTAGTAAAACAATAAAGCATAAATTGCAATTAACAGTTAACTTCACTATTGTAAGGCCATTCCTTCTGCTCTTACTATAAATTACTGCATTTCTTACCCTCTTCTTTTTCCAACATATTAAATATTTTCTTGTGTTTTTTGTGTGAACTTCACACAAGCTTACGTTTACATGATTGACTAGTATGTATGTATTCTTTATCATATATATATAAGAGCCACATGTTTGTCTACCACACTCTGCATCCTCTGAATGGTTAACCATAAAAAAATCGATTTTAAATTGCTTTTTTTAAGAGTGCACTATTAGAAAAAAAAATTCATTTTTTGCAATTCCTAAAATTTCATATCGATATAAACATCGATCCGTCAGTCTTGGTATGTGCTGAACGGCCAATGTGAGATAAAAGCTTATTAAAAACCAAAATGTTTCTTTTTGTGAGGCCCTCCTGTGGTACGGCGGATAAATCTATGGACTTACAATGCTAAAATCCGGAGTTTGATTCTCAGCGATGGACACAGCAGATAACCAAATGTGTCTTTGCTCAAAAACAAACAAACAAATATTATTGTAAGAGAATTTCACGAAAAAACGGGATTTCGAAGATAGGAGCACAAATGGTGAAAACGGATAAAGATAAGAACGTGTTTGAGTATATATTTGTTATTCTCCGGTTTATAAAATAAGCATTAAAGATATTTTGGTAGAGTTCCCATTACAGGTCCAGTGTGTGTGTGTATAGAAAATTAATATTTAAACAGTCAAGCAAAATAGAATTAAAAGAAAGGACTGCGTTAAATACAGCAAATCCAAACCTGTGATAAATTACATTTTAAATTAACAAAACAAGCCCGAACAAAGATAACTTAAAGATGCTGCATAAATTAAAAGTATCCCCAGGGTACAGGCTATAATGTGGGGTATAAAAGGTGCCCTGGGTTTTTGAGGTGACTGCGGAAGTAAGACTCACATTGCGGTGGAGATACCCGGTCTGTCAATCTTAACCTCCCGTCGCCAGTCTCATATTAAGAAATTATCATCATAAGTACAAGAGCGAGATGTGGGTGCTCAAGCCCACAACGTTCCACATCTATATCACCCTTCATTGCCTGCAGACAGTTGTGGGAATGTGATGGTTTTCCAAAAGAAAAAGAAAATACATGTATATTGTTACGTATCTGCTTGTTTGATAATTTCCGGTAAAAATTCTTTCCGAGTGACTTCAGCAATACAATTCCCTTCTTGATTAAAACTAGTTTATT